AGCAAAATCAAACAGAGCATCAGTTCAATGAAATACTGTGGTTTGATACATAGGACCATGGAAGTGGAGCTAATTAAAACCAAGTCAGAGGACAGGAACTTACCACTTACATTAATTTTCATCCACAGCCACCTGCATTTAATTGTCTTCTGCTTTTCCTTCGCTAACTCGCTTATGGAGGGAAGGAGGGCAGAGGCTGTGGGCTCCTGAAAGCTCACAGACTCTGCAGGGCAGGTCCCTAACGGGCACTAATTATAGTGAAGAAAGGTGAGGGGAGACCTCGCAGTTCCAAGGTCCCACCGTACAGGGAGTATATGTAAATGGGGATTCATCGAGTCCATTAAGGAGATGTGTAGTTCTGAAATCTGTTAAATCCATTCATGTTCCGTTAGTTATTTGCATCCATACAGGAGTCCAGGGAGATTGACAGGACAAGTTTCACAAAGGAGAAAGCTAAAGCGGAGGGAAATTTGAGTCTTACCTAAGGTATCCTAACCAGAGGCTACATTAGAGTCTGGGTCTCCTGATTCCCTGGCCAGAATCTGAAGACCTAAGAGGATGGTGTGTTCCTAGCCACGGGCTTCCCTCTTTCCCCAGCCTCTGGTTTGAAGGGGTGTAAGAAGAGACCTCTGCCCAGCAGGCTACTCACCACGTGGTCTCTACAGGACAGCTGGAGCCCCTAAGGATTGGAGTGGAAGACGGGAGGGATGGGAAGGAGCCCAGTAGGGGCCCGACTACAGTGATGACAATAGGTTATAGTGAGCAGACCGGGATGAAAGAGGACTGGGCACGATGCTCCCAGCCAGTTCCTTGTGCACTAGCTGCCAAGCCAGGTTCTTTTGTATTCAGAGCAGGAGGAGGTATTTTTTTTTAAGTGCAGCTGCTATAGCAAAACCTGTGAAGACTGAGAGCCACAGAAACCCAGATCCATGACTGGGAATAATTTATGGCGGTGGGATTTGAGTCGGGGGTGGGAAGGGAGCCAGGATATCCAGGCTGCTTTTGCCCAGTGGGTTGTACATTTCTGCCCAGCACCCAGTGCCTGTCCAGGTACGGCTCAGCCCAGCCTGGCATGTCCTAGCATTTATTGGCACACCTGAACCATTGCCTTGGCATTTAGATGCCTTTAGGGATAGTAGGGGTGTTTTTGTTTGGTTTGTTTTTGTTTTTTCTTAACCCTAAGAAGCCTCTATTTCCCATTTTAATGTTTCTTACATGCAAAATACTGTATATGCTTATAGTAAAAAATGTATAAACCGTGCAGAAGCATATAAAAAAACCAGTTAGTGTCCCCCACTACACACATACCTACATGTCTTCCTTCCCACTTTTTATTTCTCAGAGTTACTCTACTAGCAGTTTGGTGTTTATAATTCCAACTTAAACACACACTTTTTTAAACAAAATAAAATAATACTGTGTAGAATAGTACACATGCTGTTCTACAACTTTTTTCACTCAAGATGGTGTCAAGGTGATTCCCATACATAGGAATCAATTCGACTCTTTTTAACTGATATATAATATTCCACAACATGTATATACCATAATTTATTCAACAAGTCCTTTATGAGGGACATTTGGGTTGTCCTTTATGTAAGATTTTTCATGCTTGTGTAAAATTCAGCAATGAACATATGTGAACATATCTTTATAAGTATATCCATAGGCAAATTCCTTGAGTTGAAATTGCTTGGTCAAGTGGCCTATGCCCTAAAAGTTTCCTAAGTATTGCCAGCTGGCCCCCCCTCAAAAGGCTGTGCCATTTTATACTCCCATCAATGGTATATGAGAGTGAGCAATGTTCCCTGTATCTGGGATTTGATTGGAACAGTTTTAAGATATTTGTTTTAGTTTACACCTGATACCGCAAGCCCCATCCCAGAGCCTCTCACTTCTCATGTGACTCAAAGGGATGGTTGGTTGGTGGGCGTCAAAGGAAAAATACAACCGAAGTTGCCATGTAGGGTGGTAGAAAGAACAGGCCTGAGAGTGGGGGACCTGGTTTCTAGGACCATCTCTCCAAAACATTGAACAGGCTGCTTTAAACCCCTGGACCTCCATTCACTCATCTGTGAAATGCAGGTCATAATAATTGTCACAGTCCACTGTTGTGGTTGTTGTGAGGATCAAATGATGAGATACAAAAGTGGTATGTAACCTAAGAAGCAGGATACACATGCCAGAGTGGTTATTATGGTAGCGTTGTTGTATCCTTAAATCAATGAGCTTGGGGAAGGGAGCAGGGGAGGGTGGGAGTTGATGAACACAGATGAAATCTGTAAGACATTTCTGTTTCTCTGCAAGTCCCCATGCAGTTATTCTATATCCCTGGAGAACAAACTCCAGTGGCAGTAAAGACTGCTTTATGGTACCAAGAATGATCTAGGTTATCACCCTTTCACAGGAAGGCTGAAGTCTTTTGTGTTGGGCCTGGCTCCTAAGTACAGTCCTCTTTCTATGACACCACTGTGCTTTAATTTGTCAAGCACCTGATAGGATTTTGGCCCCATGCTAGTTTCAGTAATTACCAGGGAGAGAAAAACATACATGCATGAAATGTTTAAATAACCATGTGTGGTGATGGCATAAATAGCTCTGAGTTATAGCTGAGGTATATGGGAGGATTAGGGTGAAATCAGATACTTTTTAATTACAATTTAAATCAATAACCTAGAAGACCCAAGGTAAATCATTAGCCAGGATAATCCAGTTATATCTTTCTGTTTTTTTTAAAGTATTCTTATTGTTTAAAATAACCCAAATATGTGCATTTTACAAATCAGAGATAAACATAAAGTAAATGACGTTCATTTATCTCAGTGATTTTTAGATTGATTACTTTTACCATGATGTAAAAACAAAAGTTAATGTGATGGTTTACTCTTTTTTAGCCCCAAAATTAATTTAAAAAATATGTGGAATCTAAAAACAAAAACAAAAACAAAAACAAAAAAGATGAACTGATGATTTACAAAACAGAAACAGACTCACAGACATACGAAACAAATTTATGGTTACTGGTGGGGAGGGGGTGGGAAGGGATAAATTGGGAGTTTGAGAAAAATATATTAAAAAAAAGATATCTGTAAAATCTTTGGAAGCAGAACCATCTTGATATCACCCTATTAATCAAGGATGTGAGGAGAGTGAGGGGAGTTTTTGCGTTAGAAGACAATAACCACCATGTCCAAAAAAGCTATTTAAAAATTTCAGATTTAAAAAAAAAAAACCAAGCTGGTATACTCAGACTTTTTTCAAAGCAAGTATGTATCTTAACATCAGTAATACCACACATCATATTAGAAGAAGCATGGGCTTTGTACTCAGATCTAGACACAAATCCCAGCTCTGCAAAATTCATGTACTACTCATGTATGCATTAATATTTTTTTAATTAAGGAAAATAAAAAGTAAAAAGCAAAGTGGTCCTTAAAAATGTCTGGAGTGTGTAGTTTAGTTAGTCTTTGCCTCCCTCTTTCCTGCTTTGTCATAGACCTGAAGGGTCATTGATGTTCTTTTCCCTATTCCCAGTATCATCACAATTTAAAATGAATTAGTCCAAAGAGGCATCCCAATCTCCAGCTTCCCCCAGATGTTGTCTCTGGTGAATCTAGAGGCCCGTTGTGTGACTCTTTCTAAAAGGACTTTGGCAGATGTATTAGTTCACTCTTGGTCTTGAAACTTATTTTTGTTGGCATTATGGAGAAGTGATTGCTGGGTGTTATGAAGTGTTGAGAAAATTGGATAAAAGTCAATGGGGAGGGTCATGGCCGAACTTGACCATTTAAGGATGTGAGGACACATTTATCTTTATAAAAAGAAGTTTGAAAGTGAAGAAGAAAACTCACCCATAATCCTACTTCTTTAACCCAACTATTATAATTTTATGTTCATCTCTGATCTTTTTATTCTGCAGGCATATTTCTCATCGTTATAATTCAAAATGTACTTATTATTTTGTATTTTTTGTCATTTTTGATGACAGCTTATGGTCTCCTTGCTAGGATTTACCCTAATTTGCATAATCTAGTCAAATCCTAGGGTGGATGGATTTTGGAGTAGCAAGAGATAATATTTGAAGTTAGATTTTAGAAGGCTTTCTGACACCAGCAAAAATTTGAACTTTTTCTTAAACAGAAGAGATGCCATGGAAGGTTTTAGGGACAGGATGGACAAGGAGAGCCACATCTTAATGATTGTCAATATAACGGTATATGTGTATGTGTATGTGTGTGTGTGTGTGTGTGTATATATATATATATATATATATATATATATATATATATATATATAAAGTAGATATTCTTTTTCTATAATGCTTTTTAAAGAATGTGCTTCATGTGCAGAAAGGCGGTTTCCGTATCTAGACTGCCATCTCTTTGAATCCCACTGCCATATCTGCCTCTCTCAGTTTACTGTGGATTCCAGAGACTCCGTCAGTGCAACCTACTTACCTGACAGGTGGTGTCCCAAATCCAAACCATTTGCTCCCTGTAAGGAGTGCTTGTGTAGCTGGACAGATCTCCTCCTCTGAAAATGTATCTGAAAGCTCAGTCTTCCTGGGGGGGTGCAGTTGAGGAAGACATACGAAATAAGCCCCTCCACTCCTTGCTATCAGGTGCGCCTCTTTCTCGACCGCCCCACCTCTGTCTAGACAACCCTGACAGTGTAGAAGTTTCCATCTCCTTTTCCTTTCCCTCTCCCTGTTCCCTCCCCTTCATTTTTTTTTTCCTCCCAGGCGCTTCCTGCCTGGAAACAAAAGATTGGTCCCCAGTAGCCCACTCAGGGTGATTTTAGTTTTCTCCGCCCGCTCTGATTGGCCTCCGTGCGGTGCAGAGCCCGGGTGACGTCATAGCGGAGCAGGGCGAGGGAGCGGTTGCCGAGCAGGGCTCGACCGCGGGCGGGCAGCTGTGGGCAGCGGACCGTCTGGGGTTTCGCGCAGGGGGCTGCGGCTTTCCCCGGCCCGGAGCGAGTGTGCTGGGCTGGGAGGAGAGCCAGGGGGGTGGGGTGGGGAGCGGGCTGGGCCCGGGCTGCGGCTCCCCAGCCCCGCCAGCCAGCCCCAGCGCTCCGAGGGAGAGGAGAGGTCTGGACGGGGTGGCTGGACCAGTGGCAGGTAAATCCCGCGATGGATGGCATTTGGCTCGCTCTGGGGAGGGGGTGGCCGCTGGGCTCTGCTTTTAGGCCGCTGGGCAGGTTTTCTGCCTTCCCGGACCCTCCTATGGATGTCGCGGCGTCCCGGCCTCGAGTCCCCTCCGTGGCTCCCCCGGAGCCCTGACAGCCAGCGAACAGTTTGCACGATCCCGGCTCGCAAACGCGGACAAGTGGGTGTGTCGGGGCCATTCCCGGAGGACCTGGGCCCCTTGGAGGGGTCAAGCCCTAGACTCGTTTACCGGGGCCTGGGCCGCTTGAGGCAAAATCCGCCCCAAAAGCTACGTCAGCCTGTAAGTCTTATACCGTTTTCCCGCCCCCCCTCCCCCAGCCACTGTAGCAGCGCCGGCAGCTCCCCCATCCAAAGGGGAGGGGGTGTGGCCGCGGCCCCGGCAAGTCCGGAGGAGGGGGCACAGTCCGATCAGAGCAAACCGAAAAAGTGACGATTTTCTTAAACGGGCGCCTTTCCCCTTTTATTTTTCTTTATCCCCCTCCCCTTTTTTGGTGGTGGGAGGACCATGACAGGAGGACTCTTTTCTTCCTCTGTGGGGACTGGAATGATGCAATAATGTCCTTAGAAAGCCCGGGGTCCCTCAGTTGGCCGTCGTCTTTGTCTGGGGAGCAGGGTCATAAGGTCCACTGCCCCCCTTCCGTGTCCCCCTCAGCTTGCAGGGGGACCTTGCCCTCAGATTGTGAACTGGCTCTGGCAAGATTCCTGCCACAGTTTCGGACGGATTGACCATTTTGGATTCTTGTTCTCTGCAGGTTTTCCTTCCCTAGGTGGTGGTTGAGGGGTGGGGTGGGGAGCTGTGGGAGGGCGGTGCCCGCAGGGAGGGAGCCAGAGGCCCCACTTGTTTTTTCGGTCCCACCTTCCAGAGTCCAAGGCCAGACTCTGGACTTGAGGGTTCCAGGCTGTGGTCTGTAGAGATGAAGGAGAGCAGGATGAGTGGCTTGGCTTTGGGAGGCATGAAGGGGGCGGTTGCAGTGCTATTTTTAAAAAATGGCTTTCAACAGGGAAGCCTTTAGCCATGTTAGTCTTGCTCCCCCCATGGTTTTGCAGACTCAAATCCAGGCCAACTGTATGGCTGTCTGAGGTGTTGGAACAGAAGGAGGTCCATTCCTGTTGGTGACAGCACTGTGGCCCTGTTCTGGGATGACCGAGGTATAAAGGTCAGTGCGGTTTTCACTGGGCCATCAGCAAAATTATAAATTGGGCAGGTCTGTGATGTGTCAGAGGCTTCTGACAATCAGGGACACCTTTGGGCAAAGGGGCTTAATAGGGTCATGGATGATTAACAAGCCCCGGCTTGGATAGAGCCATGTAAGCTTGTTTCTGGATACAAATATCCTACCCTGCTCCCCCATGGAAGAAGCAAAATGGCAAGAGACCAGGATGTATGCTGAGAAAAAGCCAACAGCTGCGAGTCGAGGCCAGGGGGACCTTGGGATGTCAGGGAGCAAACCCTCCAAGCCTCCAGGCAGGCAAGTGGGCCTTGCCTACAAGGCAAGACACCTAACAGGAAAAGGAGGTTTGCCTGTGATAGGGGTGCAAGCAACAACACCCTAACTAAGGACATGCCAACTAGCTGTCCATTCCCACAGGTTGCAGATCTTCTAGTTGGGGGCAGAAATTGAATACAGAGCAAACAAGCTTGCTGAGGTCTTTGGGGGGAAGGGAGTGGATGGGCATGACAGGAGAGGGAAATGAGGAATCACTGCGGGGATGGGGAGGTGCTGCCCTCATCAGAGACCCTGTTAGTATGAGGTCAGAGACTAAGCTACTATGAGTTCAAAGTTGATAGCCAAGGCAAAAAAAATCGGATCTAAGAATCAGATAGAGTAGGTAGGAACAAATCCATAGAGAGAGGGAGGGAGAGACAAGAAGAGAGAGACATCATTTTACCAGGAGCCCAAAGGCCCTGATTTCCTTGGTGAGATGGGAGAAATTTTGGTGGTTAAGGCACCTGTGGCTCAGCCCAGACTTAGGGGGACAACTTCTCCGTAGTTGAAGAATCTATAGTAGTGTTCGCACCCATGTAACCCATCTTCAGGCACCAGTAGCTTTGGTCACAGGAAGGAAAAGAAACTCAATGAGCTACAGCCTCAACACTGGCTCTTCCTCCTGAGTAAGAAGTGAGTAGGGGGCCAGGGCCCCAAAGGGGACTTGGGGAGCTTCAAATCTGGTGGAGACAGGTAGGTTGACTACTTCTATATGGGGTGGGTCTGGGCCCAGTCTAGGGCCCCAGCTGCCAGTGTGGAGGTATCTGCTTGTACTCAAAAAAGGAAGCCCTCTTTCCCAGGGGCCCATGGGACCCCGAGCTGACCAGGGGTGGCGAAAACCACTGCCCTAGAAGGTAAGTGAAGTTTCTGAGGCATTTAGGGTGCAGCTTAAGCTTCAGATGTCCTGTTGTCCCCCAGCATCCCCACTGCCTGCCAGAGTCTAGGTGGTTCCCTCTACAGGGCCTGGGGTGGACTCGCCGGCTAGCTCGGCACTACACGGCTTCTCCAGCAGGGGGCGGGAGAGAGCACGCAGCAGCGCGGGGCCAGGGTCCTCCATTTCAGGGGTGAAGTCTGAGCCTCCATCAAGTTAACAGCCGTACTTTTCAAATCGGATTTAGAGGTACCAGAGAACCAAATGAACCCTCGGCTCTGGCAGTCTGTTTCCGTTTCCTCCCAGAAAGGTGTCGCTTCCTACCGCGCTCTGCAACTTTGGAAGGAATTTGCATTTACGCCCGCGGTGATTGCTGGAGTCTCTCATACAGCCTAACACGGAGTTTAATTGGAAATGTTAATCAATAAGATGGATCCCTGTCTGATTTGCACAACCGGTCAATTATCTGCAGGTTGGGGCAATCTGTGCTGCCAGGGGATTGTGAGCAGGGGCAAAATGGCTTAGCCACAGCTGGGTTTGCGAGCGGGATGCAAGATGGGGGAAATGGACCTTGAAGACTGGAAAGAGATGAACGGTTTCTTGGTGGGGAGTGGAAATCACGGAAAGGCCTGGGCGCGCCTGGTCACTGAGATGGAATAGGATGGTCTTGGAGTCCACCCAGGGGAGGTGGAGGCCGTGGTTTTGCCCTGGGGTGGGAAGGTGCTGGATTTGGAGAAGGAAGTCTTTTATGGACTAGAGGACCAGGAGCTGGGGTGGAACCAACCTTGGGAGTCAGAAGTCAGGGGTTTTGGTCTGAGTGTTTCTGTCCCTTTCTGGGCCTCAGTTTCCTTGTCTTTCAAATGATGAGGTTGGACTAGGTGGTTTCTAAGGTGGTGGTGACATTTTAGGAAGTGGGTCCATTTGTTCTTGGCAATGATTCCCCCCACTCCATTTACTCCTTCTACATCACGCTTTTTGGTATGCTCTCCAGTTGAAAGGAAGACAGGCAACGAACACACAACCACTACACACATTTCATCTCTCTCAGCAGTGCAGCCTTACTTTTATTCATGTGAGTGGGAGCAGGAGGGGAAGAGATGCCCGAGTGGAGAATCTGCCCCTATAACCAAGCTCGTGCAAAGCTCTGTGGGGGATCTGGTACAGATCTTACATCGTGGGGGTGAGGGGAGCAGCTACACATTAGTGGCCCTGACTCCCTAGCTCAGTCTCAGAACAGAAGGGCTTGGGGTGAGGGTGAAGGAAGGGCCTGGCTTAGGGTGTGCATCCTTTCCCTATCTTTCTCACCCCTCTCTCTCTTTCTGAGCCAGGCAGACTTTTTGGAATTCTGCACTCTCAAGAGACTCTACCCCTAACATTCAGCACAATCGCGCCCTCTAGTGACCTCAATGAGAACACCTTTGGCAGAGCTCTCCATATGTCCCTGGGGCCCAGCTCCGGAGCCAGTGCTTCACCCCCTGTGCAACTGTTACTCCCTGTGGAGAAGGGCTCTAGTCCTTCCAACTGGCCTGAAGGAGAAACTCAGGCGGCAGCAGCTTCCTGCAGGCCCATTTCACACGTAGTTGGCGCTGGGAGTTGAGAGAGGGAGCCATGCCCCTAGTGCCCAGTTTCCTTCTTTGGGCCTGAAAAGGGTTCCAGAACGTTCCCACCTATCTTCAGTGCTGGTCCAGGCACTTGCCATGGGAGGGCCCTGGAAGAGAGAGAGTGTTTGTCTACAGCTTCCCTGCCCCACCAAAAAGGTGGCAGCCCTAATCCCCAGACAAGATGCCAGCAGGAAGCTGGAACGCAGCAAGGCGTGGTGCTGGTAGGCACTTGATGAGTGCGCATATCTCTAGCCCAGCCTCCAGCAGGAGGTTAGACCACAGTGTACGCACAAGGCAGCATAGACACCCAACAAGATGCAGATACACAATGTGGCATAGACATAGGACACATGCTATAGGGTAGACACAGGCACTCCATAGCGCAGAATGGATACAATGCACATGCAGCACAGTGCAGACCCACAGCACGTGCACAAGATGGCACTGGCAAGGTCACATACACAGAGCGATATAAACACTGCACGTACGCACACACACACACGTCCTGGTACAGGCACACAAATACAAAGTGGTGCAGGATGCAGCTCAGATATATCTGACCCCGTATGTACTCATGCACAGGACGCACCCCCCCCACTTCCGACACAGCATACCCGCAGACAGGTGAGAGGAGTGTGGCCACCAGGTGGAGCTCCGTGTCCTGCTATTTGCACGTGCACTGGCTCCAGCTGCCCAACCTGTGGGTTCCAAGCAGGCTGCCATGGAGTTATTAAGCGGCCGAGGGAAGGTGGAGGTAGCCCTAAGGAAAGCTCTTGATCTTGCACAGAGACCTGTTGGTGCTTGGTTAGTACCAGTTGGTGCACTTGTCCCCTTTTCCCCCCTCTGAGTCCCTGTAGTGTTCCTCCCTACCTGGGGACGGGCAGGGGACTTTCTATAGTCCTTCTTCTTGAGCCCTCTCCGAGTCCCACCCCTCTCTGGAGCTTTGGCAGCCCTCCCTCCCTTACCCCTACCCCACGCCCTGGCAGGATGAGCTCATGCAGCGGGAGAGGGGGTGGGCACACCGCTCAGCGGCGCAGTGGGTAGAATTTGGAAAGGCTCCTCGGAGTGTGCACGTGGGAAGCTCACAGGGAATGCCAGGGCCGCTGGGGGACAGACGTGCTCTGGAGGCTTGCCAGCAGCAACTGGCAGACCTGGGGTAAGGCTTGGTCTTTTTATTCAAGGGGGAAAATTGGGAATAATGGGGCTTTTCTTGGCTCCCTGAGGCTTCAGTTTTACTGTCTCCATCTTTAGATATCCAACCGTCCATCCATGTCTTTGGATCAGGACATTGTGCATTCTGGAATCCTCTAATAGAATGTGTGCTAGCCTGGATCTGGTTCTATTAGAAGTTAGCACAGAGGTGCTGCTCTTCGAGGACAAACACCATGGAGAAAAGAGGGGGAAGGTTAGGAAGGATTTCAGAGCTTGGGGTCCTATCAAGGGAATATCAGTCTCCTTGAGAGGCTCAAGCGATTGTGGGGAAAGGCAGAAAGGCGGGGAGCGGTAAAGAAGCCCTGTCTCTGTCATAGTTGGCCATGGAACCCTCTTTGGGGGAAGACAGGGTAAATTGTAACCCTCTAAAACCCCAGGATGTATTCACCCAAAGAAATCTAGGAAAGAGTATGGAAGACATCCCTGTGGTGGAGATTAGGCTCAGAGGCCCTCAGCAGCTGTGAGATGATAGCAAATTAGGGAACCTCAAAATGCTCCCCCTACCCTGCCCACCAACCCAGTGAAGGAAGCTGTTGAAAAAGGAAATGGAAATGGTGGTGGAGACTTGGAGTTGAGGGATGACATAAACTGAACAGCGGGGTCTTCAGGAAGCTCAGGTATCCTCAGAGCCAAACCTGCCTTTGCCATCATCTTGCAGTTTCCTATTGTTCACTGGACTGTACCATCTGCTGTGAATATGCAGATACTTCACATCTGTAATATTGGTGCTCCCAACACTTGTCCAAGGTGACTACGGCAGGTCTTTTCCACTCGCTAGCAAGCAGATCCAGAGTGGTGAAGTGACAGCAGTTCTCAACTTGAAACTCCCAGTTCACTGCCTTTTCTGGACTCCTACATACCAAGGCTTTTTTTTTCACCTCTCGACTATGATTCTCTGTCTTCTTAAGGGAGTTTCTGAGACTCACTGTAGTGTGTGTGTGTGTGATGTTTGGGGGGTTGGACGAGGGAGCAATAGCAGGTAGGGAAAGAGGTTCCTGCTCCCCCACAATGCTTCTCTCGGCAGGTTTCCCCCAAGAAAAGGCAGCTGAGTCCTTGCATCTTGTGGCAGCTGGTGTGCCTAGCACTGAGTCCATCGGAGCTGAAGGCAGCCCGCCCCCTTCTCATGGGCAGCACCCACCTGTGCTGAGGTCCTGCAGCGGTGGCGGTGTGAGGTGAGTAATGGCTTCCAGGGCAGGGAGTTAGGGATCTCCAAATCCAGGTAAATGCCACCTTTCCACCAGAGCTCTTGATATTAAAGGCCCTGCCTGGGCCTCACCAGCCAGGCCTCAGGGCACAGTCTCTCTTTTCTGGAGGATTGTGCCCAGTATAGCTGCCCTGGTTCTCTTGGTTCCCCAGTCTCTAATATGGGAATGACAGCCTTGACCTACATCCTGGAGTGAGTAGGAGAAAGCACCTAACAGTCATTGCCAAGTCCTTTGCAGATGTCAAGCTCCATCTAAGAGCTTCAGTGTAACACAGACATGCTTTCCATCAAGCTGTCATTTCCTTTCCTCTGGCTTTCCTGATGTTGAAGTGGCATTTCGGCCACATGCCACCAATTTGCTGATTGGTTCCTATAATTTCTACTGCCTCATAACCTGAATTTTACCTTCCTATTCAAAGTGTACCCCCACCCCGTCCATCCCAGCTTCTGGGCCTGGCAGCCTTAAGTTAAACCTTCTAAACCTTTCCTCTGCCTTCCCACCCAACCAGGGAGCATTTCCTCCCCCACTCTTCAATAACACTTGAGTCTTTAGCATAGAGTGTGGCCCTTGCTTCTCTGCTGCCTTAACTAATTCTTGCATGGTTTCTGGAGTATTCATCTTGGCAGGTAAACTAGACTGTAAGCTGTTCAGGAGTAGGAACTAGATTTCACAGGTCTCCAGTCTCTCTCGCAGGTGCCTGACAGTTCCACGGCAGCTTTTTGATTTGGGCCACTCTCTCTTCCTCTCCACTTCTCTCAGGTTTCTTGGTCTGCCTCTCTGATCATCTACCTGTCTCTTTTCCTCTCAGGCAGCCATTACAGCTTCCTCTGTTGTCTTCTCTGTCTGGTCTTCTGTTGCTATATGCTGTGGTCCAGCTATCTGTTTGTATCTTACCATCCCTCTGTCTCTCTGTCTGGTCTTCTGTCTCTTTGTCAGTTACTTAGGTGTCTCTTGTATTGCCCAAGTCACATCCAAACAACCAAAAAAAAAAAACCTAACAAGAAAAACAAACAACCTAAACAAAAACCAAAGGAGGAATATGCAGCATAGTTCACTTTCACACTGAGCCTGTCCTGGGGCTGCAAGGACAAAGGAAAACTGCAGCTCAGTGGCAGCTGTTTCTGTGATGCCTTCTCATGGAGGGGAAGCTCTAGAGTTTAGGCTGTGAAATTGAAGGTATGAAATTACAGCCTTGCCGATACTGATGCATTCAACTTTCTAGAGATGCTCTCCGGCAGGGGATCCTCTATAGAGCTTGAGCAACAGAAGGTAACTAGAACTGGCTAAAATAAGATGTAAGCCCCTGGGTTTCTCCTGGGTGTTCTATGACAGCCACAATAATAACTTGTATTTATTGAGTGCCCACTGTTGCCAGCTCTGAGCTAGACATTTTACGTGCATGAGACCATTTGATCCTATAGTAACTCTACAAGGTAGGTGTTTTTCTCTAAGAGTTACTGGTTTTGTTTTGGATTATAAAAGTGATACTGGCTCAAGGTAGATATTTTTAGCCTCACTGTTTTACCCCTGAGGAGATAGAAGTTGAGATGGGCTAAGGAACCTGCCTCAAACTAGACACATTGTGACTTTGGGAAGAAAGACACTTCCTGGAGAGTTTCTCAGCATCCCAGATTATTTTGGTACCCTCCAGTGCTCACTCATGCACATGTGCGTGCATGTGCACACACACACACATCCACACACGCTCTCTCAAGTCCACTCACACACTCTTATATATTCACACGATCATCTTTACCTCCTTTATTCACACTCATTGTTCACACTGGACACATTCATAGTGATGATCATTCTTACCCCCACATCCTCACACACGGTCACATTTATGAACACACTGCATATAGGTTCATCCATACTGCCAAACACTGATACAGACTCCCATTTATATATTCACTATTCTGTACCAACACACACTCACACTTACCATACACCCCACCTTCACAGTCTCATCCACTCACACCTTTATGTTCTCTCTTACATCCTCACAGTTTCCCAGTCAGACCTACACACTCACATCCACACATATGATACAGTCACCCTTAACCATCAAATTCCTATACAATCACACACACTCTAAACACATTCTTACGTTGACTTTCCTCCGCCAGTTTCTCATATGGTCGTACACGCACTCAATTTCATACACTCCCAACACATGTGCACTGAAATCACCTCGTTCACGTGGCTTATAACTCACAGGGACACACACATGCTCATATGTTCACGCTTGTACATGCCCACACCATAAACACAATCTCAGCCATTTAAACTCTTCTGTTTTCTTACACTCAGAATTCTATTCTCTTCCATTGCTATACTCAGCACTGACACAATCACTCTAATGCCATCATATTCACACATCATCTCATCTACACATGGAAACACTCATTTTGACACAGAGTCACAATAGTGCTAATAGTGACACACTGTCACGTACACACCCATGTATAATTTCCGAGACTCTTATACACACCCCCACACTGGTACTGCAACATTCACACACTTTCTCGCTCACACACACACACACACACACAGTAACACACCCAATTGCAGGCAATAGTTCATTACCACAGCTGACTTTTTTTTCCTGTTTTGCCTCTGGTTCTCTTCTCACCGCTGCTAAAAGGAAGAGTGTTGTTCCCAGCCAGGGTGGTGGTGGGACAAGATCTTTCTAGCAGAAAGGAGTGGCATTTATGTCTAGAATTAAAAAGAGGAAGCTCGAACCCTCACATCAAGTTTTATATCCTTTCACCATAGTTTCCACCTACAAAAATCATCGAAACTTAGCCAGACCTATTCAAAAGAAGTTAGGGTATAGATGGTTTGTTTATTTTCTGGAAGTTGATGGCTTAACTGGCCACCTCATTTCTCTCCCAAGCGGGAGAGAAAGGTGAGGCTTGCATTTCTTTATGCATTCTTGGTGCTTTCCTATGCAGAAGTGATCAGACACACAGACAGGGCAGCCCTGCCTCCAGCAGGTACCTCTAATCTAGCCTGGTCTACTTTCCTCCTGTTAACCCTGGACCATGGTATTCAAGAAAGAGAAAGAAAAGGTTAATGAGCTAACTGGATGATAAAATACGTTTTTTATTATTTTAAACTTTTATTTTTATTGAAGTATAGTCAGTCTGCAATGTGTTGATTTCTGGTGTACAACATAGTGATTCAGTTATATATATATATATATGTATTCCTTTTCATATTTTTTCATTATAGTCTATTACAAGGTATTGAATACAGTTCCCTGTGTTATACAGTAGGACCTTGTTTATCTATTTTGTATATAGTAGTTAATATCTGCAAGTCCTGAACTCCCAATTTATCACTTCCCCCTCCGTAACCATAAGTTTGTTTTCTATGTCTGTGAGTCTGTTTCTGTTTTGCAAATACATTCATTTGCTTCATATTCTGAGATTCCACATATAAGTGATCTCATATGATATTTTTCTTTCTCTTTCTGGCTTACTTTACTTAGTATGACAATCTCCAGGTTCATCCATGTTGCCACAAATGGCATTATTTTATTCAACACATTTCTATTGGGAGTGGGTGCACATATATAGACCCCACTGGAATTTCAACATCTGTTACTAACAAGTTATCAGAGGGAATTTCTCAGTGGGCGTGGGTAAAGACAAGCTGAAAATACTTCCTTGCACTCCAGATAGACTGTAGAATCCCTGCAAGGGTGCAAAAAAAGAACAGGAGTGAACCAGTAGATCAGAAGCCTGGTGCCAGAGTCACGTGCCACCCTAGTCCACAAGAGCACTTTGTAGAAGTCTCCCTAGTCCATGGCTTCCCCTGCTGTACTCTCCCTGGAGTGAAAATAGTGCAAAATATGTCCAAGCTGCCATTTGATATGGGTTCTGGCACATCGTGGGAAAGAGCCTATACTCTGGAACACCACCTTCCCTCCATCATTAGATTGAGAACTTCTTTGATATTACAGACCACATCACCTTACTTATTTTGGTTCCCAATGCCTAGCACAATGCTAAGCCCAGAGCAGCTTACTTGTGAAACTCAATTAAGAAACAAAAAGTAGGGGGAGGGTACAACTCAGTGGCTCCGTGGTAGAGTGCGTGCTTAGCATACGTGAGGTTGTGGGTTCAATCCCAAGTACCTCCATTTAATAAATAAACAAACCTAATTACCCCCCCTCCACACACACACAAAGAAATGAAAAGGAGTAGATGGGCCGCACCATGTTGTCAGGACAGATCCAGTGCCTCTCTTCCTCAGTCCCAGAATTCCAATGGCATTATGAGCTCAGATTGAGGATCTTCTGTGCACCTCACATAGTGCGAGGCCCAGAGGGAGATTCAGATGGGTAAAAGGCACACCCTCTGCCCTTGAGGTCGTTTCCTTTGAATTGGAAAGATGAAGTCACCATGAAACAGGAGTACAAGGCTTGAGGGTTGGCGGAATCTTTATCGTAGAATCCAGTGGTCTCCGGGCTCCAAAGGCCTTGAGGGCTCATGGTTGGTTGCGAACAGCAGTCAGCATTTAGGAAAGCCACTTCACAAAGCAACCTTCCTTGTAGACATCTTGCTTAGCACAGGAAAGATATGTCATCTTTCTAGAAGATTGTGTAACAAAGCGCTTTGTCACTGGCATAAGGCAGAGGAAGAAAAGTGAGCTTTTAAGACCTTAATGGAAATATTGTACTTAATTAAGATTTAGCCACCACCTCCTCCAGGAGACCGCTTTAGGAAAATAGCCTGGCAAATTTACATTTGATCGTCTCTGCCGATATGCTGAGACTCACCAAAAGCAATTTATAAAACTGACAGTACTGGCTGAATTTTAGGATGAGAAAAATGCGCCTGCCTGAATTCACTTGATTACAGTGAGAAATCATAAGAATGGAGACCCACCCCTTGCATTTATGTGGTATTTTATACTTCTCAAAATATTTAATAACCCATAAGTCCATTATGATAGAAGCA